TCTTCTGTTTGTATTCTTAGAATACTGTTTTTAATATATTTTTCCGTCCTGTAAAGGGCAAGTTCACAAGTCTTTACTTGTGAACATTTTTAATTCTGAGCATTGTCTTTTAATCTTTATATTTCCGCTGCATGTTGTCTCAAGTGTCATAACATTTTAGATAACATCTCTGTATAATACGAATTCGGGACCATAAATTTTTTTCAAATATTGTGTTCTTTATCTGTGTTATAGCTTTCAGTTTTAGATCTGTAATAATTGTAGTTGCATTATCTGCATTGGTGTCAACAGTCGGTTGAGTCAACACAGTGATATCTGTGTGTTCTTTCTTGGTTTGATTTTCATTTTGTGTGGCTTGTTATTGTTTGTGGGCCTAAACCCACAACAATTGGTGCCGTCTGTAGTAAGATCTGAGCACACAGTATGGGATCTACCAAGTTTGAGGTGGAGAAGTTCTCGGGATCTAGTGATTTCGGTCTTTGGAGGGTGAAGATGAGAGCCATGTTGGTGCAACAGGGGTTTGATAGATGCTTTGAAGGGTGCCAAAGAGCTTTTGGATTCCTTGTCAGAGAAGGAGAAGAATGACTTGATGGATAGAGCTCACAGCTCGATCATCTTGAGCCTTGGTGATAAGGCTCCGAGGGAAGTAACTAGAGAGACCACTGCACAAGGCGTTTGGTTGAAGTTGGAACAACTGTATATGACCAAATCTCTCACAAACAGACTCTACTTGAAATAGAGACTGTATTCCTTCAAGATGAGTGATGACAAGCCTCTGTCGGATCAGATAGATGAGTTCAACAAGATTCTGGATGACCTTGAGAATATTGAGGTAAAGCTTGAGGATGAAGATAAAGCTCTGATGCTACTCAATGCTATTCCAAAGTCTTATGAGCATTTCAAGGATGTACTGGTGTATGGAAGGGAGCAAACCATATCACTGGAAGAGGTGCAATCTGCAATCAAGGCTAAAGAATTGCAGAAGAAACTTGAAGGGAAAGCTCATGAATCTGGAGAGGGACTCATTGTCAGTGGCAGATCTGAGAAGAGAGACTTCAGGGACAAGAAATCGAAGAACAGATCTAAGTTGGTGCAGGGCAAGAGGACTCAGGTAGAGAGGGGTCAGTGGGAGTGTCATAGGTGCAAGAAACCTGGTCACTTCAAGAAGGATTGTCCGAAGAAGAAAGCACAAGATCAAAGGCACAATGGTGAAGCTGGTATTATAGCTGAGGATTTTGAATCCTATGATGTCCTTGTTATCACTGAAGGTGATGTAACAGAGGATTGGATATTGGATTCATGATGTTCTTTTCACATGACATCAAATAAGGACTGGTTTGAAACTCTCGAGTTGAATGAGAGGGGTACAACCTTATTGGGGAATAATGATGTTGCAATGTGAAATGGGTTGGTTCGGTAAAAATCAAGATGTTTGATGGAATTGAGAGGATCCTACCGGAAGTGAGATTTGTTCTTCAAGTCAAGAGGAACTTGATATCTCTTGGAGTCTTAGACAAGAGTGGCCACACGTTCAGTGGGGACAATGGCATTCTAGAGATGTCTAAGGGGTCTGTGGTTGTTATGAAGGCATTCAGAAACAATGGGATCTACCATATGTCTGGACAGACGGTTATTGGTAAAAAGTTCTGGGGAGAAGCTGTGGCAACAACAACATGTCTCAACAACAGAAGTCCCATCACAGAAAGTGATTTCAAAACTCCATGTGAGAAATGGTATGGTAAGCCTGCTAATTTCATTAATTTGAAGGTATTTGGTAGTTTAGCCTATGCCCATAAATGTGGTAAACTAGAACCAAGAGCCCTCAAATACGCCTTTATTGGTTATCCAACCGGGGTTAAGGGGTTTAAGTTATGGTATCGGGAACCTGGTCAAGGGAAGTGTAATGTGAGTAGGGATGTAGTCTTTGATGAATCGAAGATGACAAAGATTATTGGATATCAATCTACTCAAAGAACTTCAAGTGATGGTACTCAGATTGAGGTGGAGTTTCCGCAAGAGACCACAGTTGAGCAAGCTGTGACCACAGATGCTCAGAAAGAATCTGATCACAGTAAGAGTTCTGCATCAGAGGATGATCTGAGGGATTACCATATGGCCAGAGGTAGAACCAAGGGGCTAATTAAACGACCTATAAGGTTTGGACAAGCTGATATGATTTCATTTGCACTCAATGTTTCTTTTGAGATAGAAGGTGAGCTAGCCACTTACCAGGAAGCAAATAGGAAGGAAATGAGGAATTGGATTGAAGCTATGGGGAAAGAGATAGCTTCAGTGGAGAAGAATGGGACTTGTGTCTTAGTGAAGAGACCAAGTGGGAAGAAGCCGATGAATTGTTGATGGCTTTTCAAGAAGGAAGGAATCCCCGAGGTGGAGAAGCCTAGGTACAAGGCTAGATCGGTTGTTAGGGGATTCTCACAGGTGAAAGGGATAGATTTCAAGGAAATCTTTTCACCGGTGGTTAAACATTGCTCAATCAGAATCATGTTGGCACTAGTAGCTCGGTATGACCTTGTGTTGGAACAGGTGAATGTTACAACAACTGTCTCACATGGTGTATATGTGAGGAAAGCAGAAGGAACGGTGAGAGCTTACTTGTTGCTGTATGCGGATGACATGCTCATTGCAAGCAAGTCCAAAGAGAAGATATATGATATCAAGGAGAAGCTGAAATCTGAGTTTGAGATCGAAGATTTGGGGTCTGCCAAGATGATCTTGGGAATGCAGATAGTGAGGAACAGACGGTGTGGTCACTTGTTCCTGTCCCGACAGTCTTATGTTGAGAAACCCTTGTTGAGATACAACATGCATCAGTACAAGGCAATGTCTACTCCTATGGGGCAGCATTTCAGACTCTCAAAGTCCCAAGAATCTGTAACTGATGAAGAGCAGATGTACATGTCAAATGTGCCATATGCTAATGCGGTTGGGAGCTTGATGTATTGCATGGTGTGCAGTCGGCCGGATTTGGCACACGTTGCAAGTGTGATCAGCAAGTTTATGGTTGATCCAGGGCAGGCACACTGGGAAGCACTCAAGTGGATTTTGAGATATATGAAGGGATCTGCTGAGATTGGATTTCTATTCAAGCGGAATGATGGAATAGAAGGTGATGCGGTGAAGGGTTTTGTGGACTCAGATTATGCTGGTAGTATTGACACAAGGAAATCCTTAACATGATATGTGTTCACTCTCTTTGGGACTGCAGTGAGGTGGAAGTCAAACCTCCAATCGGTGGTAGCTTTGTCTAGGACAGAAGCTGAATACATGGCAGTGACTGAGGCAGTCGAAGAAGCTATGTGGATGATTGGGATGGTTCAGGAGTTGAGGATTGAGCATGAGAATGTGAATATGTACTGTGACAATCAAAGTACATTTCACTTGATAAGACATCAAGTGTCGAAACACGTTGATGTGAAGGTGGAGAAGGTGAATACAGCTGAGAATGCTGTTGATATGCTAACAAAGTCTTTACCGGTTTCAAAGTTCAATCACTGTATGGACTTGGTGAGCTGCTGTAGGCAGTGCTTGCTTGGTTATAAGCTAGGTGGGGCAGTGCTAGCTTGGTAAGAAGCTAGAAGGTGTTAGCTTGGTGAGTAGTTAGGTGGTTCTAGCTTGGTAAGAAGCTAGGTGGAGCTAGCTTGGTAAAAAGCTAGGGTGTAGAGAGAGAGAGAGAGAAGAGAAGCCTACGTGGAGTATGAGTCAAGGTGGAGAATTGTTATTCTGTGACTCATATCCACGTGTACATGCCAAGTAGATACTTTATCTGGTGCATCAGTTAAAGTAAAAGTCAAAGTATGAGCTGGAAGTGTAAGGAGCTGTTACACAAGAAGACAGAACCCGTGAGGACCACTCTGACAGTGGTGGACACCTGTCGAGCTTACAATGATTTGCTTGGGGACCAAGTTTGCTATTTGCTAGGGTTTTCAGCATATATAAAGCACTTGGTGGAGAGGCTTGTAGGCTAAGGCTAATCAAGGGGATAAGGCTTGAAGGGCTGGAAAGAGAGGAAACTCTCAAGAAAAGGGAAAACAAGAAGAAAATCTTCACAGGGTTTGTGAGATTTGGGGTTGGGAAACAAGAGAGAAACAGTGAGATATACACAGGGGAGTGTCAATACAGCTTAGGTGAAATAGCTGTTGAGAGTTTGAGTGTAATCACTATCTTGTAATCTGTAACCTTCTTGATCTAGTGGATTTTGTTCTCTCTGCACAGTGGATGTAGGCCTGTGGTGATACAGGTCGAACCACTTTAAATATTGTGTTCTTTATCTGTTTTATAGCTTTCAATTTTAGACCTGTGACAATTGTAATTGCATTATCTGCATCGGTGTCAATAGTCGGTTGAGTCAACACAATGAAATCTGTGTGTTCTTTCTTGGTTTGGTTTTCATTTTGTGTAGCTTGTTATTGTTTGTGAGCCTGAACCCACAACAGTTCGAATAATGAATTTAAAGTGAACCAAAAAGAAAATATATATCCTTGTTGTTAGTGATAATTCATTATTATATCTAGGGAGCACTATTAGCTAATTTTTCCACATTGATGTTGGTTCCCATTTTTGTTTTTGTTTTTGTTTTTTTAATCTAGCTAAGATAAGCCTTAGCTTGGGCCTTACAAATGTATTATTGACACGCAGGAGCATGTAAGCGTTGGACTTTTCATTCATAGTAGTAAAATGTGTAAACAAGTGACGAGGATTATAACTTATTGGCCACGCAATGTTATTATATTATTGATTGATTGATGGAGCAGTTTATGGTGTTTTGCATTTGCATGATGTTGAATAATACAATAATAATAAGATATGGAAATAGTTATGGGCCATTGCTGCCAATGAATGGGCTTCATTTTACTCATAATGGGCTCGAAATTCCCAAAAGAACAACAGCCACGTATCTATCACATTCCAGTCCACTACAGTACAAACTAAGTGCCATAAGACTAGAATTGCATCAAACTCAAAATAATACCAATAGTGTAAGTAAATTAGATGATTGAAAACAAAAGTAGCATTTCATTCATGATAATTGATATGTATATATGTGGAGAAAAGAAAGAAATATAAGATATATATAACAACCAGCAGTAATACTAGTAGTCATGTACCATTGCATGCAGTACTGGATATATAAAAAGAAGACGAAGAAGAATATAGAAGAACAAGGCTGGTGAATTGAAATATTAAGGATTGGATCGGACCGGATCGGATTGGGGATGGGATGGATGCATGTAGCTAGGAAGAAGGAACGATAACGGTGCGCATCATATGCTTGAACTCGAAAAAGTCAACGCGGCCGTCGTGATTCTGATCTACGGAGGAAATCATCATCTCAACTCTGTCCAACTCACGCCCTTCATCATGCAATCCCAATTTACCAAGAACAGACTGCAATTCCCGAGCAGATATGTAACCGTCACCATCCATATCGAAAACCTTGAAGGCCTCGCTCAGATCAGATTCATCATCATCATCTGAACGATGATCACCGATTATTTCATTATTCACATCTGATCCAAAGAAGACGTCGTTTAGGGATCGGTGCAGGGACTCGAAATCTTCATAGCTGAGTCCTTGGTTTCCTTGTTTAACGTACGCTCCTACCATCGACTCTAACTGACTAATATCTGTTTGTAGTCCCAGCAGAGACAGCGCCTCACCCAGCTCATCCACCGTTATCACCGAGTCTTTGTTCTTATCGAATAGGTCAAATATGCGCCTCAGCCTTACCGCGTTCAGGCTTGGGCTCCGCAGCCTGAATGAATTACTAGCGCCGCCCAAGCTTATGCTGCTGCGCTTCACCATCTCATCAGATCCGCCTGCTGTTTCCATCTATCTATCTCCTTCTCCTACCTAGCTAGCTACCTCTATTTTTCGCCCAATAATAAATGATAATGATCCACGAATGAGGAACCGATGCGTTTTCCGTGGAATATAGAGAGAGAGAGAGACAAGGATAGGAGAGACGACTTCCGAGAATTTAATGCGGCCATAACACGCGCATTCAACGCCCTCAAACAACGACCATTTCTCCTCTCTCTCTCTCTCTCTCTCTCTCTCTCTACTGCCAACAACTTTTATTCCAATATGACAGACTAATTAGTAGTACATTTTGATTTGTCATTTATTGATCTATAATTGAAAAAAAATAAACAATACAAACTAGTAGATTAATAAATAGCTGCCTCAAAAAAAATATATATATAGTTTGGCACACAAACGATGACTTTCTTCCATCCTTTATTTACCAACTTCAACTCGGTATATAAATAATAGAGATTAATATTTGGTAATTGGGTGGTTATAGAATTTCAGTAAATACTTATAGGATATTTTATTTTAAAAATTCAAAAGTTAATAGGTTAAATCCACTTTTCTTAGAAGTTCTGAATGACATTATTTTGGTAGGATATGACACAAGGAGTTTTAGACAATAAGTTGGGCTTAGGAGGTTCGTTCACCATAATAAGACATGAGTGGATCGAAGGCAGGCCCTGAAATTGAGGTATCTTTGATTATTGGGTTGAGAGTCCTGTTGGATACTGGGCCTGCTAATCATCATCAATCAATCAATCAATCTCGGCTCGGCTCGGCTCGGCTCGCATATCACTAACTATTATTATATACTGCGAAAGATAATTAATCTCGATCGGCCTTAATCCGATTCTGCCGATCATTGAAATCCAATTATTATTATACCAGCAAAACAGGAATAACATAAATGATTGCATTGGAACATCTAAATAATTAATTACCAGTAGTAGTAATAACTACTCCATAAGAAGGGTAATACTTATACAAAGCAAAACCAACTCCAAAGAGCAGAGCAGAGCAGAGCAGAATAGATCCATGAAATTGAAATTGAAAACACGATTAGAGGTGTCTATAATTTGGTCTTGTATTGGCACTTCTGGTTAGAGACCGCCCGGTTGATGAGATCAATTTGGAGATCGCAGGTGGTGTAGGTGACGACGTGGATATTGAAGAGTAGGCGCACCTTCCCTGAAATTCTGATGTAGGTCTGAAAGGGCAAGGTGCCGGAGGCGGCGTCGGAGTACAAATTGGAGTCGGAGAGAAGTCGATCCGCCATCAAGGTGAGTGTGAGGTTCAAACTGCGGGTGTCCCGAGCATCAATTTTGCCGGCCGGGATGGGGACCTCGCCGACGTCGTTTTCTTTGTATCTTAGGAAAGCAGTGCTGTTGGTGTACTTGAAGCCGACTCTGTTAGGGTTTTCGACGGAAACAGAGACGTCTAGCGTCACGTTCAACCGGACACTCAGCCTGGCTATGTCGATGGAGAGATCCAGATCGTCCAGAGAGATGGAGTTAACGGTTGTAACGGGACGCTTAGTCTTGAAAACTGTGAGACCTAGAATTAGAAACAACATTCCCAGAGAGAGAATAACGGCCGTAACAGAGAGACATATGCATCTTCTTCTTCTACTACTTTTTTTTCTGTCCGTGCCCATCATCATCTTCTTCTTCTTCACTTGTTGATTCGACTGTGCTTCCACCTCCATAGATGGATGGATGGATGGATGGGTTGGAGAATTTTTATTATTTGAAATATTAATGTTTGGCAGAGGCAGAGGAGGAAACTATTGGGTAATTTTATAGCAAAGTGCCTCCCCGTCCCGTCCTTGTTCTAGTACAAGTAGAACGACAAGTACTTATTAAGCTTCGCCCAACCTAACTGCTTGGAGTGGTAATTAATTATAGTGATTAATTATTTATTTAATCAACGGGGAATTCTAATTACCCAGGCTATTAATTAATTTATTTATTAATTAAAGAAACAAACACCACCGGATACCCAAGTCCAACCAAAAGAAAGAACGGATTGCAATTTGCAACAAGTCTGTAACATCACCAACCATATACATATTACAGATGTAGTAAAAGATGCATGCGGTGTGATTAAATATATATATTAACAAACATTTATTTGTATTAATAATAACTAATGGTGTAATTTTGTCTAGATGCCCCGTGAAGAATTGTTAGTGTTCACACTTGTAATTACTTCAAACTTAAAGCCAAAAAGTAGGAGGTAGTTGATGGTTATTAGGTGTCCATTCATTCATTCATTCATTCACCAACTCTCTCTCTCTCTCTCTCTCTCTCTCTCTAAATAGTTTAGTGGAGTAATATATATGCCAACAAACCTGGCTGAAAATCCCCTATTATGATTCGTCATCTTTGTAGCGTGGCCTTTCACTGCGCCTCTATTTATTTACTGATATATCTATCAATTAATTACAACTGTAATAACGTCTTTCTTCAACTGCATGGAATTCTATAATGTATCCTGCCACTATATATATATATATATATGCATATGCCTCTCCAAAATGATACATCATTAATTGTCCAACTTGTAATTCAAGAGATTAGAATTATAGCCTAAAATTTGATCATTTATTATACCAACAAATTAGACTGGGCAGGACTCAAATATATATTCATAATCTGCAAATCCAATAAATCGACTTAAGATATGTGACACAAAATTATGGGAGATGTTGTTGTAATTAATTATGATGAATAGCTTTAAAGTGTATTGTAGGAAAAATGAAATTGAAACTACAAATATAGATATAGGGATATGCAAATTAAATGTAAATTACCATAAAGTTTAGGGTGAGGTGGAAGTTGGAAGATGAAGAAGATTAATTCACCCATTCCCGTTATCGGACCTATCTTCTTCTTCTTCTTCTTCCCCTCTCTATCTCTCGCTCTCTAATTCAGCCTGATCGCCTCCTCACGTTTTGATGTTTAGATCCTAATTAATAAGTTGTTTAAACTTTCAATTGAATGAAAAGCAACAACATCAATATTTTTCTCTCTTTCTGTTTCTTCTTTTCTCTCCCAGAGAGAGATAGAGATAGAGAATTTCCCAGCCAAACTGAATGCTACAGTATATGACGAAGAGGGGAAGCTATTTGTCCTGTGGTATTCCTACAGATCAGCATTCCCAATCGGTCTCGTTATATCAATACTTCTTGTACAATTCTGATTTTTTTTTTTTTTTTAATTCTGTATATTTTTCTTCATTTTTTAATAAAATTAATTTTATATAAAACTACATTTCACCAGCTTCCCTAGTTATCTGTAATGAGTATCTATATACAGAAAAATCCACATGCAATAATCATGCTTATTTAAAGTTGAGAACTATAAATACGGTAGTGAACCTACAATAAAATTATTGAATTATTGAAACTAATTTGCATCAAGTACTATATAAGAAAGAGAGCAACGCAAAAAAGAAGAATAAAATGAAGCTCCATCACCACCATCCATTTCTCAGTCTCTCACGGTACAAAGTTTTTGATTAGGGAACATATTCCAACAGTATAAGATTACCACCAGAAGGGTCAACCTAAAGAAATCACAGCCCAAAAGTAAGATGAATGCAAATAATGCCTACGCATACATATATGTGTTTGTGTACCTGCAAGCCGAGAATGATTTGAAGACAATCAACACAATAATTATGTGTAAAAATAAACAAAATGTAATATTCGCTCTGAACGGGCATTAAACAAATATTTTTTTTGGGGGGCCTGGCGTTCCTCTTCTCAGGAATGGCCAATCTTTAAACAGGCAAGCATGAAAAAGTAAATGTGAATAAAAAAAAAAAAGCAAAAAAGAAGCACTTGTATCACTACTCTCCAGCTACCAACCATGCTCAGTGTAATAGATAGGCATGTCATGTGTAACTTGATCGACTGTTGTTCGACCCAGAGATGTTACCTTTTCACCATTATTTTTCTCTTTTATGACCACCAACACATGAGGAATAGGACATGATCAAGTTGATCTGATGGATCTTAGTCTGACGTCAGCTTAAAACAGAATGGAAATTAGGTTGTTGCTCCAGAAGCCAACAGCAATATATGACATCTTTACTGATTCACATTACAGTCATTCAGAAGCTGATTTTGTGGGTTCAGAAACTTCCTCCAGAAGCTTTTGTATTTAGGAATGCCAAGCTCCAGCCATGGTTTCATGCTCCCATCAAAATGCAATACTGCAGCTGTTTCGATGGATTCCAAATCCACTCCATAGTTATAGCCCAAACCAGATACCATCCAACTATCCTCAAGACCATAAACTAGACCTTCAAACGTTAGCAGGCTAGCGCTTAATGTACTTGTTTCAGATATTCCATCTCCTTTCTTCATCTGTTCCAACATAAAAACCAACAATTAGAATTATCCAGGATCATGAAAATCAAATACAACAGTGATTCACATGTAGCACGATACATCAACCAATATACAAGGTACGAAGGCAGAATTTCAAGACCTGCACAGTACATTCTAGCTAGTGAATTTAGTATCTCCACCAATATATTTCGAAAAGATTAGAAGAGACCTGACATCATAAAAAAGGACTAGAAGAGAACTGACACTCTATATACGACTAGAAGAGTCTCAAACGGCAATATATTATGTATATATCATCTTAATTTGTGAATCTGATCACTCTGTTGTTGCTCCTCTCTTGTTATTTTAATTACAATATTCTCTCTTCTTTTTTATTTGTTCTCTATTTATGTCCTTTCCACAAATTTCCAGTCTGTCCCAATTAAACCTGGTGCGTCCATTCAGAAGTTCTGTCAGCTACAATGTCTGCAAAGCATATAAAATAATCTCAAGGATTCCATTTGATGGGTAGGCCCATTTGATCTCTTCTCAGTTATTTACAGTTCTATCTAAACCATACTTTCCTTTTTATTATAACCCAGACATTCCAAGAGTTGAACAACAAATGAGTAAAATCAAATATGTCAACGTTAAAAGGTTGCACTCACCTCGTGCACCAACCTCTGATATTTTCCAGTAAGATTGTGTTCCCTCCACCTAGATAAATCAATAATATTTACTCCCGAGGTCCAAGCACAAGAGTTTTCATCAAAATTGCTACTTGGCAAGTAAGTTTTTAGGTGAAACAACTTCACTGCACAGGACTGCATGGCACCATTCACTTTTTCCCCCATGTCAATGTTCCAGAGGGCTGAAAAGTCGCTCTGAACAACGATATCATCATCCAAGACCACAATTTTCTTCAAAGACTGAAATATCTCAGGAAGGAGATAATGGGAATGCGAAAACATAGATAGGTATTGCGTTCTAAACTGAGTAGAAGACAGTTTATCAACCCTACGAAAGGAAACACGAAATTCTTCAGGCAATGACAGATCTAACGGTGCCACCTTATGATGATTATACAACTTAAGGTCTTCAATATTCAGCACCTGAACTGCAGCATCCCCATAGTTGTTTCTGAAAAACCATAATTTCATAGAAAAATAATTTTCCCTGTCCGTCAACAGATGAAAAACCTGTTTCCCACTTTCCTGCAAAGAGAATTAACCTTTAGTAATGGCAAAACGATGCAAACAGTACAACGGAACTTTGAAGTTAAGGGAAGAGAAGGCATATAAAAGACAAGGGTAAGACATCATACTTTTGCATTTAGTGCAGTTGAGTTGATTACTACAGACGATGCGAGTATATTCCTGGAGAAGATGATATAGTGGTACAAGTCTGGGTTTACAAATTTCTCAATCAGTGCCTCCTCAACTTCAAAAGAAGTTCTAAAATACTCAACAGTTAATCTCATTGATAAACAATGGAGACTCTTTGGTATGGTTTGAACTGCAAGTTTGTATAGAAAAGCACTCTGTTTCATGTGAAAATTAGCTTCATCCTCCGTCAGGTCAACTAGTTGTCTAAACTTTTTATCAACGTTATTACAGTCCACACGGAATGACTTTGCTTTTGCTATTGCAGCCTCCATCATTGTTAACTTCTGCATATTCCTGATGAAATGGCCAAAATCATTATTTAGTGTTCCAGATCCACATTACAATTTTGCATTACCGAGCATTTTAATGCAGATGTATTATGAGCATGTTATTTTATCTGTAATTAAACATAATTTCCAATTATATAAAAAATAAGTCAATAACTAAGGGCAAGGAACAAAGCTGAACAATTAGCTTGCCGGCCACACTTATGACATACAAAACCATAAAAGTTCATATCCAAGCTGCTAACAGCTACATATTCAGGAATCAACTAATCAATGTTGCAGTTACATAAATGAGTTATTAAATGATCAAAGGCTACAAATAGGTATAATTGCACAACGAATATTTCCAATTGAAAGAAATGTTATTAAGAGTATAATCTAATGATTTGAAGTGTTTTCTTGTAAAAGATTAATCAATATTGTCCGATTAAAAATACTGTCAACCAGGTGCAAACATTAGCAATGAAACATCGACCTGTGTTATAACCGCACGTAAGCATTTGCCAAGCAAAATGACATGAAGTTCCCATGTAAAATTACAGATTTTGACTTTTGACAAGTGGCAGTATGGTCACATAATAATGATGATGTTACCTATGCTAATAAACAGCTACCCGTGTGGTACATTTCCCACTCTTGTACTGGGAGGTCCTGGGTTTGATCCCAGTTGTGTGCGTGCTTGTGTTGTAAGGCCATTATATAGTGCCATCCTTTTAAAATACTGTTATGCTAATAACAACTAAGATTAATTCCACATTACTCCATGTGCTTTACCTGATGTCACTTTAACCGCTACTGTTACATCACCTTCCCTCCTGACTCGGTAAACCAATTACAAAGGGGTCAGTGTTAACTGTTTCTATCAGAAGAATTTTTTTTTTCCACTTTTGGAATCTCCATTTCCAGAAATACTTGTGCTTTTACATGCACCTATAGTATTCGTTTTAAACAACAAACCTTTCATGCATTGACACCATAAAACAAAAATATTTCAATCTTCAAACCTCTAAAGTCAGCATAAAATATAACTAATTCATTTTTACACAAAAATATGGGCTGGAAATTTACCAAACACATCGAACAAACTGAAGTCAAATACAACATGGAACCCAACCAAATAGACGAATTCAATACAGGTTCAGGTGAGTCTAATCTGGTTTATGTACGCTCGCTCCTTGTAATAGGGAGGGAAAGCTATTGAGAGCATAAACTTACGAATGGAGAGAAGTTCCCAGATAAGTTGAAACCAGATAACAGAATGCACTAACAAAGACAAAAAAACAAGACACAGGAGCTTAAATTTTAGGGTTGTGTTTGAACATACTGAGGGGGGAGATCTTTATCTGTGGTAGTTTCACTAAGAACGCGCTCAAAATCCTGAATATTTTGCTTCAGTTCATGAGACAATTTGTCCAATTCTGGCAGTTTCGCGATACTAGGATAGTAAGCCCGAGCAACAAAAAGTAGGTCCTTCATTTTCTTCACTACAGAGTCTTCCATTTTTTCCTTCTGTTGTTGGCGCCATAAGCAGTAACTCCCAAATTTTAATTCACAAATCATCTCACTCTCATCAGCACCTGTCATGTTCTCACCAGTTTTATCTCTATCAAGAGATCCACTATTCTGCAACACAACTTACAGCCAATGATAAGCAATAGCAATGCAGAACTTAGGTACTTCCAATGGCAAATGGAATATAGCAATTTTACCTTTTTGACTTGTTTTGGCACATCTGCTGGCGTTGGAAAACCTGCGAACATTTTTTGAAAAAGCAAAATTATGAAAAATATAAACATGAGACTGCACTTTTTGGTGGGGACAAAGATGCAATTTATTAGGGAAGATTATTTTGTACGTACTCTGATTTGGTCCCTTACCGTTGGTATCATTCCCACCTTCACGGACAGAGCTATTTGCAAGAACCTGACAAAATGTAAGCAAAACAAGTAAAGGCGTTGAAATCTCATCCTAAGAAATCATTCCGCAAGCCAATCCTTTTATGAAAGCCAAAGATAAAGATGATTTTATGGAAGTACGGATAATTCTATTGAAGTATATTGAACATGTATCCTGTCTTCAGTTCAATATATTTAGTTTATAAGAGCTCTTAAAGTGCTAAACGGTCAACCTATGTGCACATCTACATACAGCAGAAGTGCAACAGAATTTAATTTTCCAAGGTTAATTTGCACTTCCTACGTTTCACATATGTGTACACCCTATGCTATGTATGTGAATTGTGAAAGAGTACTTTCTTGAACGAGTGTACATATTCCTTTGACATAATGGAGGCTACAGGGCACAGTAAGATAGTAAAGAAGTTCGTAACAATCATGCAAAATCTTCAGATGGATGTTTTAAATTTATCATGCTAGTTTGCTTGTTCTTCTTTCGACGTATCAAGAGGCTTTATATATAAACCATAGTTATAAACGCACTTCATTTCTCTATACAGCTACTTGATTACCAGAGGCATCTGCAATATTTGTTTCAATAAAAGCATAAAATTAGCACAATGTCACTGAAACGAGCTGACAGTATTCTTAACCATCATGACATTGACAATGAACCTTTGGGAGAGATGGAGTGAATCTTATTACATGATCATCCATATGTGTTGATTGGTGAACCTACAAACGGACAACGAAAGAAATTATGTGCATCTCTACGCACTGAAAATACGAGTACTTATATAAATGTGTTGTGTGTGCGTGTGTGTGTGATTCACAGAGCACTCAAAATGGTCGGTAAGCTGTCACCGAGTCTGTATTCGTGATTAGATGCGTACCGATTTTCCATACCTTAGATTGATTTCTTGTATCAGCATCATTGTGTTGATCATAAACTCTCACATGATTCTGGTTGCATAAAGAAGAACCAGAGAAAACAATCAATCGAAAACCCTCTCAACATCTTTGAAGAAGGTTGAGAAATTCTTACCGAGGCTGAGTCCCGCTGTTCAGTGCCATCGCCTGAAATAGTGGTGAAAAATCAGAAAACCAAATGCAAACACGAATACTTTGAAGATGGAAAAACAATGTAGATTCAAAATTGAGTTCACTAAACTTCTCTCTGAAGGAGAAAAACGACTTGAAGGATCTGAATCGAGCAAATGATATAACAGATCTAACCATAGGAAGGAGAAAGGGGGTTACCGTTGGTAGGGTGGACATGGAGTCCGAGCAAGAAGACGAGGGGTACGAGCATGGAAAGAAATACTAGGCCAAGGACCCCTATCACGAGACCCTTCCATCTTCTCTTCGCCGGAAGTGAGTACGATGCAGAAACACCCCCACCCCCACCCTTCATCCCTCAATCTCAATTTTCTTCTTTCTCCACTTCTTTCAGATTTCTTTTTTTCTTTTTCGGAGGCGATCTCAATAAACAACAAACCACATTTTCAATTACCTCTTCCCCGTCGCCGGCAATCAACCAGAAACCATAAAAACAATCTAATTTAATTCCTACTTTCTCAGAGTACGATTCTTACACTTGGCTTTCCCTTCAATCTTCATCCCCTTTACAGAATCATAACAATTACGCGCACACAAGAGAGATGGCCAGAGAAACTTGTCAAAAGTAGGGGGACCAATTACACTTTGCCCTCAAACTCTCTCTCTTTACATTTAATCCAATTAACTATCAATTCTCACATTTAACTCCCCGCTTCATGATAAATGCCCTAAAATATAATCTAAAAGTAAATTTTGATATAGCTTTGTTTTTACCCTTCGCTTTTGCATAATCGACCATTTATTATATGAGCTTATTTATTGCAAAAACTACCCCTGTGAAATCTCTAATTGGCAAATACTCCCCTGTGGAAAAAAATGTGACCAACTCCCCCTGTGTTATGAATTACAAAGCGCACCGCACCCATTGCTTTTTTAAACATTGACCGTGTGTGAAACTACCATTATACCCCTCAATGAAATAAATAGCAGTAAACCCATTTTCACTCTCTCGGTAAACCTATTTCACTTTCGCTCCCAAATTACACCTACCTCTGAAAACCCTAAAACACGATTCCCCAAAAAAATTGTGAATCTGCTTGTGAAAAAATGCTTTTTGCGTCGATTGAAACTTGAAATAGCTTCCCCTCTCGTCGATTGAAGGCGCCAAGAAGTCATATTTGAGATACGGAGTCAATTCGCATTGAAGAGAAACAAGAATTAAGGTTTGTAGTATTCTGTCTTGTTTGTGTTATTTGAAAAAAACACATTTTTTTTCTCGATAACTAGAGTTGTGGGAATGTTAAAGTATGTAGGCTTTTGTATTTGTAAGGTTTTGTATATTATATTCGTGAGTTGTGAACTTTTTGAGAAATGCTACATTTAATATTTTAGGTTGTGGGGATCTGTTTTTTTGTTTGCTTGTCTGTAACAACAAGAATTTTTGCTTTGTAGGGTTTTTTTTAAATTATTTTTTGGTATCAGTTTTTTATGACCATTTTTTGTTGTCTTGTTGTTTGAATTGAAAACTTTAAAAAAATGGTGTGGGGTATGTAGAAGTAGGGCACTTTGTTACTTTGTTGGTGAACTTGCAAAGTAACAATAATAATTAATTGAACAATTGTGTTTGACTGTTTTTACCATTTTTTTATGCAGAATGAACAAGTTGTGTACAGTTACTATTTGGTTGAATGGTACATTTGTCCATACACCCAAACTGGCTTATGTAGGTGGCAAAATGGAAGTAGTGGATCGAATTTGCTTAGACTACATGAACCTAGATAACCTATACCAGATATAGCGTATGAGTGGGGGGAAAAAAACTAATATTCAATTCTACTTTGTTTATCATGGGCTATCACTTCATGAGGGATTGTGGATGATTGAAGATGATATTAGTATCCAATTCCTAGTGTCAGCACATGAAGACTTAGACCACCTAACATTGTACACAGAAGAGAATGACAGAGAACCTTTAATTGCAATTGATGTGAATGGAAATGTGATTGTGGATGAAGAACCAACTCTCCTGCTTAAGTACAGTGAAGGGAATACAAGAGAGACAGTAGAGACTGTAAACATTGAAGATGATGCACCAATGGATGAATATGGGACACAAATGAATGAAGATGAGGCACCACTGAATGAAGAGGAGGCACTGGATGAAAATGAGAGACCAATGACTGAGGAGGAGGCAACACTGAATCAAGAGGAGGAAAATGAGACACCAATGACTGAAGATGAGGCAGCACTGAATCAAGAGCCACTGAATCAAGAGGAGGCACCAATGAATGAAGAAAATGCAACACTGAATGAAGAGGAGGCATCACTGAATGAAGATGAGCCAGTTAATAAAGAAGATGCACCAATATTTTAAGATGATTCTTCAGATGAAGATTATGTTCAATCTGACAATGAAGATGGTGATGATGATATACCCTCTGATGCCCCAAGTGAAGAGTTTGCTGACATTGAAGGCTCCTCTGAAGATGATATCTTTCTGGACAGACATTCAAGTAAGAAAGATCTAGCTAGAAAACTGAGGCAAATGTTGAACAAGGAAAAGAGGTCAGTCCAGAGATATAAAAAATGCAGAGTCAATCCATCTCAACAGACCACTGATTGGTATAGTGATGTTGATGACGAAGATGATATTGAAAATCTGAATTTCTTAGACAGTGAGAGGAGAAGAGTTCCTAGTTTCAGTGAAGGGGAAACAATGAAAAACATAAATCTTGAAGTTGGTATGAAGTTTCCAAATGTAGACGTTTATAGGCAAGCACTTATAGATTGGGTTGTTAGAAATGGATATGAACTGGAGTACTTAAAGAATGAAAGGACAAGAGTGACTGCAACATGCAAGGAAGAGGCTTGCAAATGGAGGATCCATGCCTCTGTTGTTCAAGGAAGTCAAATGTTTCAGGTATTGTGTTTTGTTTTGGTTTATGTTTCTTCATTGTGTTCTTTTGATCCCAATGATATTAATGAATATATATGTTATGTTTGCAGGTTAAGACCGTAACAGGTGAGCACACATGTTCAAGAAAAAGAGAGAACAAACATGCCACTGCCAAGTATCTTGGAATGAGGATGGAACAAGGCATTAAAGACAATGCAGATATTGGTATTCAAAAGTTTCAAAACAGTATACTGATGAAGGTTGGGGTTGAATCTAGTTACTCGAAAGCATTAAGGGCAAAAAGAGTAGCAATGATCAAGATAAGAGGCCAAGATGAGAAAGAATACACCCAGTTATGGGATTATTGTGAGACCCTCAGAAGCACTAATCCTGGAACAAAGGTATTGCTTAGGAAACTGTATCTCTCTGACCCCCCAGTATTTGAAAGAATGTTTTTCAGTCTTAAAGGCATGAGGATGGGATTTTTAGAAGGTTGTAGACCATTGATTGGTCTAGATGGCTGTTTTCTCAAAACACCACATGGGGGGCAACTGTTATGTGCAGTTGGTAGGGATGGGAATGACAACTTATTCTCAATTGCTCTTGCTGTGGTTCCTATTGAAAACAGGGAGATGTGGACATGGTTTCTCTCTGAATTGTTGGATGTCATTGGTGGTGCTAAGGATGGGAAGTGGACATTTATTTCTGATAGACAGAAAGGGCTGTTGGAGACCATTAAGGAGATTGCCCCCAGGTGTCCTCACAGATTCTGTGTTAGGCACATATACCAGAATTTTAAACAAAAATGGACTTCATTAGAGTTAAAATAGCTGTTGTGGAGGGCTGCTTCAACAGGAAATACTAATGAATTTCAACAACATTTGAGGGCAATTGAGAGGATTGATGCAGGGGCAGCCAAATGGTTGAGGGAGATAGAGCCTTACCATTGGTGTAGAGCTTATTTCAGAAGAGGATGCAACTCTGATGTAGTTGTGAATAATCTGTGTGAGTCTTTCAACAACTTCATTCTTCAAGCAAGAGAGAAGCCAATTGTTAGTATGTTTGAGTGGATCAGAGCAAGACTAACAACTAGAATTCAGGTAAAAATGGAGGGCATGGAGAAGTATGAGGGCCAAATCTGTCCAAACATACTTAAAAAGATCAACAAGTATGAGAAATATGCAAGAAACTGTTTCCCAAGATGGTGTAGGGGAGATGAATTTGAGGTTGAAGCATATACTGATAGATATGTGGTTCATCTTGACAAGATGACCTGCACTTGTGGTATGTTTCAGCTCAATGGATACCCATGCCCCCATGCATGGACTTGTATATTGGACAGAAGGTTGAAAGTTGAAGACTACGTGGACCACTGTTATTCAAAAAGCATGTATTTGAAGGCTTACAGTCACATGGTACATGCAGTTCCTGGACCAAGAGACTACATAATCACTTCACATGAGCCACTTCTACCCCCAATGTACAAGAAAAAAGCTGGGAGACCTAAGAGGTTGAGAAGGAAGGCCCCTGATGAGATTCATAGGACTTCAACAAGAAGAGGCCTCACACATACATGCAAGAATTGCCTTCAGCAAGGACATAACAGGGCATCATGTAAGAATCCAACAAATCCAGCCTCTAAATTTTACAAGGTAAGCCTTTTTTTTTCTGTACATATTTTCTTGTACATTTTGTATAATTATTATAGATTTTTGATCAATTATTGCATGTGTCATAGGGGAATTCCAGTGGTGAACCAAATGTCCAGACCACTTATGCACCAAGAGCCCAAACCATTTCTGCACCAAGAGGCCAAACCACTTCTGCAACCACTTCTGCACCAACAGCCCAAACTACTTCTGCACCAAGAGGCCAAACCACTTCTGCACCAAGAGCCCAAACCAGTTCTGCAACAAGAGGTCAAACCACTTCTGCACCAAGGAAATCCACTACCCCAAGTAACCCTTCTGCACAAAGGAACTTCACTGCACCAAGGTCCCAAAGTAATTCTGTTGCACCAAGTACTGAAAGAATGGCCCAAGCAAATGCTGAAACAACTGTTGCAGCTCCTATTTCTACTCAAGAATCAGGAGTTGGTTTGGAAAGAGCACAACAGCCTTCAACAATTGGAAAGGTTGTATGATACTAGTGATTTCTTTTTTTTTTTTTTTTTTTTGTTTTTTTATTGAGATGGCTATATGTTTGCAACTTACCTCTATTTTTTAAATTTCTTTTTGTAGGTGTATGTGGAAAGGAGAAATGCAACCCTACTTGGAGGAAGTTCAAGCAACCCCATTGCCAATAAAAAGATAAGGAAGCCAGAGATCTCTCAAGTTCTGCAAAATATAAGGGAGAATGCCAAGAGAAGGAGACAGTGGACGCCTTAGAAGTCCTTTGTTTGTTTGTTTTTGGCTTTTGAAAATTGTGTAATTTTTCTGGCTACATTTGAAGGCTACTGACTAGGATAGTTTTTGTATGATTTCTGTTGAATTTGGCTGTGATTGGTTTTGTACTTTGAATCTAGATGATTATCACTTTTGGATGACATTTTGGTTTTGAACTTGAACCTAATTGGAAGATTATGTTTTTAGTAATTTGCAGTGCAATTAGTGTTGTTGATGTACTTGTGTACATGTTTTGTAATTGTGTATGTGTGTGATTGCATTTGTTTTAGCAACAGGGAGTTGTGTATGTGTGTGATTGCATTTTTTTTAGCAAACAGGTTGTTTTTGCAAATTACATTTCACTTCAAATTACATAAACTTAAACAAAAAAGATAAAAAAAAAACTTCATTCCAACATCAAAGCTTCATTCATTACAATCATAATTGAAACAAAAATAGCTAAAAAAAAGGTTTTTTTACAGCTTCAACAACAAAAGAACGACCATAATAAACAATGCTAAACTAATAACCCAAGAAATATGCAAAATTGCATCTCCTTTTCTTCCTTCAATCCCATTAGACATTACTTCACGTGGCTCATCTACTTCATCCGAAAAACCTTCTGCAGAGGCTTCCCAATTCGAAAATCGTACTGCAACTCCCATCGGCTCCCAAGTTGCTCGAGTTGGTTCACACCAACGAAAAAAATTGCAGCATCGATGTTCACAGGAGTAGTACAACTTACCCTTTGATGGTTTCGTTGATGATTCAACCACTTTTATTATTGCTTTCATTTTGCATAGACATAGAGGAGTAATCCCATACCTCAAATCCATTAATGGCTTCGAATTACTTCTCCTCGCTGTGTTGCTAGACGAATACGACGACATTATCAGAATATCAATGGAAATCGAGATAAAATCACAGAGCAATTGAAGGTTGAAATTGAGCGGCTGAAATTAGGGCATTGAAAGAAAAGAAAAGAGAAGAAATTTGGGGATTTTAGACTGCGTATGAAATAAATAGGATTGGGGTGGGCATTTATGACATTTCACAAGTGAAAACAAAGAAATATTCGCACAAAGTGCGCGTGAGATACACGATTTAGCTTCAGGGGTCCAGATGCTTTGACTTTGATAACATAGGGGGGAGTTGGTCACATTTTTTTCCACAGGGGGTATTTGACAATTAGAGATTTCACAGGGGTAGTTTTTGCAATAACCTCTTTATTATATCGATACAGCGATACTCATTTCATAAGTAGATATTCCAACCATTTAATCCATGTTTAATTAATTATTTTTTATATATTTATTATTAATTAATAGTTTTATGACTCACGAGTTTTAATAAATTATAAAATATGAAAAATGTTTTTCAAAACAGCACTTTGTTTGCTTGCCTTTCACGATGGCTTACGTCTTCGGCTCTTCGCCATGTAGAATGCACGCCTTATCGGAAGAAAATTCGGAGACAAATCTAAAAATAAATTGCCATTCACATGGTCGCAATTTTTTAGTGTTGAGGATTTATTTGAAACTATCGTGTAGAGAATTTCTATAATACTACATTCAACTACCCCATACAACAAATATGCCTCGTTTCTTACATTGAGTTACGCACCTCAATTTTAAAAAGGATCAACTGAAAAATGACTACATACTACTATCTTCAGAATACTAAAAGGTAATATTACTTTGCGGATTACTTGTGTTTTTAGTAGTTGTGTTGTTTGGGAACTCCGCAAATTTGATTTCTCTATTTTAATCGCCCATTTTATTTAATTGGGGGTAGTATGATATTTTGCATTTTTAGGGGACATCTTTTTAAAAATTCAAATTGTATTGAGATACAAGATATTTATATCTTAAAAAAAAAAACAGAGAGAGAGAGAGCTGTAAGATATTTACAGAAACAATTCCGAGAGCAAGATGTAAAAAAAATAAAATAAAAAAGGAATATATGGTAATGGGTAAAAATGAGAAAGGGGGAAAAAGTAAAGAAGTATCATATATATGGTTTGAAAATAGAAATTGATTGATACATATGGTTTGAGGTGAGGAATTGATTGATAGATATGGTTAAGTAAAGTTGAAGGCACGTTTTGCTGAGAGAAGAGTGTTGTAAAGCAGCATAGCAACAGTCATAGGTCCAACTCCTCCAGGCACAGGCGTTATTGCTGAAGCTGTTCTTATTGCTTCCTCCAAACACACGTCTCCGATGAGTCTGTACCCATGCTCGCTTCTCCTATCCTGCAATCATTAATTCACCCAATAATGTGTTGTATTCAAAATTTGCTACTGTTGTCGACTTTTTTTTAACTAGTAATAAATATTCTTCATCAAAGGAAATAAAAACGTCACCTCGATTGGGTTAGTTCCAACATCAACTATAACAACACCAGGCTTTAACCAACTACCACGGACCAGATTGGCAACTCCAGCAGCAGTAACTAATATATCAGCTTCACGGGTAATTTTTTCCGGCTTCTTTGTAAAATCATGAACAACAGTCACAGTAGCATGGTGCCTCTGCCCGACAAACGAATGATTATCGATCATTAAAACTATATATTCAGCAAAATATACATGATGTGATTGATATATTACCTGCAGCAGCAAGGACATTGGTAATCCAACAATGTTGCTCCTGCCAATGACCACAGCCTTCTTCCCTGTGATTTCAACACCAGACTGCACAAGTAACTCAATACAACCTTTTGGGGTACAAGGAATGAACAATGGCTCCATTCCTTGCATCGCCAAATTCCCCATGTTCACAGGATGAAAACCATCAACATCTTTCTCTACGTTTATCACATTCAGTATTTTGGCCTCGTCCAGATGCTGTTCAGTTTAATTATATTCATCAGAACGTACGTACGTACAATGTATGATATGTTCTCCAACTAAACTAGTTAGGAATAAAGCAGATCGGAAAGAATGCAAGCCAGCACTATAATAATCACCTGTGGCAATGGAAGCTGCACAAGAACACCATGAACCGAAGGGTCCTTGTTAAATCTACACAAAACATTACAAACTTCACATTCATCACAATTTTCTGGAAGCGAGATCATCTTAATCTTGATGCCAACTTCTTCGCTTGCAATGATTTTGTTGCGGACATATGTTTGAGAATCTCTTCGTTGACCGACTAATATGACAGCCAAACCGGGAACATGTCCTATCAATTCCTTCATTCTGCTTACTTCAGAAGCTATTCTAGATCTTATATTCTCAGCAATTGCTTTTCCATCAATTATTTTAGCAATGCAGTTGTTTGCTGCCATAAATCAAACCACAATTGATGTAATTATTCACTTTTTTTGTTCTCCACAATCACACAAGACAAGACAGAAAACAGAGTTCGGTCAGGTACAAATTATCTTGAATACAAAATTCCTTCACTAAAAAGCTACAAAACCAGGAAATAGGAATGAAGAGAATTAAGTACTTACAGTATTCTTCGGGGGTATACGATTCTTCAGATTGCTTGGAAGGAGAAGACCATGAATCCGAAAGGTCAAGTGAGAGAAGAGAGGGGGACTTTATAATTTGGCTAGTGAAAGCACGTGGTGTTGATGCAGTTAGAGAGCTCGTTCTCAAACAAATATGATGCCGGAAGGCTCCCAAAATAGGCAACATTCTTCCTCCTCCCATTCTTAGGCATCATCTATCTCATTCAAATTGCTCCCAGGTCCACAGAATGTTTTAGCTCAGCCAAGTTGCACCAACAATTGAACTAATACACACACAAGAAATGAAGAATCAATATAGGCACATGCTGCAATTGTGGAATTGAGGCCTCATAGTTGGAAGAAGAAGTTAAGTTCAGTCCAAAATCCAAATTTTAACAAGAACAAATAATGCAACCAATTAATCATTTGAGAATAATAACTCCATTCGTAAATAGAAAATAAATATTCGATATATTTTCAATAATCAGAAACACAGCAGAATATAACAAGATGCAAAAAATGAAACTGAAAATCAAAGGGAAGGCATCCGCATAATAATTAACACAGAGTATAGCTGCTGCAGAAGTAAGTAAAGTGTAAAGCACCAAAGAGTGCAATTGTCAATAAAATCCAGAAGAGATATAGATACCAGAAATAGGTTGAGGCGAAAATCTTCGTTCGCTCAGGTTTACTTGTACACAGTGGGTGGGACTGGGTCAATGGATGATGATGTTGTGTTGGGCCATAATAAAATTTCCAGGAGTAAGGAAGGAACGATTAATTGGGCCTTCAGATAACATAGGACGATTAATTGGGCCTTTAAATTGGCAGATAACATAATACTTTCTTGATTAAGAAAAGGAAGGTTATCTTGATATTATTAGAAAAGGCCGAGCCCTGTTACTACTTACTAACAACAAGTCATGATATTATACGAATACAATACCCAATTAAAAAGAATAATGATGAGAACTATTTATTTGTATGTTTGTCACGTGCAAACCCAGTTTGGGAATCGGGATATGTGTCCGAGTCTGACAGCAACTAGACCAAAGTCGTAAAAGCTATTCAACTTTTGCAGCCAACACCCCCTACTGGCTACTAAACATATTCATTTTTTAATAACAATGCAAAAATAAATTTGGATCCAAAACCTTTACAAGCTCGATATATCAATGCATGCCTTTTTACTCAAAGGCCGTGCCCAGAAATTTATGTATATTTTTTTTAATATTCTCCAATTTATATCCAATAATGTATTTGTATTGATTTATAAATAATATAATAGAGAGAGAGAGAGGAGAGGGGAGTTGGGAGTTGGGGGGGTAGACAGGTCAGGTAGAGATGGCTAAAAGAGTCAAAGGGAAAGAAAGAAAGAAAAAAAGGCAAAGAAAGAAGCAAATGAATAAAACGAAAGAGGGAAATAAAAAGCTGCAAAGGCGATGATAACGTTGAAAGCAAAATGTCAAACGCAAAGTTGCTGCATGCTGTTTTCTAGGTAACTCATGATATATATATATATTATTAAATTATATGTATGGACACAAATATATATCCATACATCGTATCACATGCATTCACACCACGCACCTCTCTAGATCTGCTCGACTGTCTGTCACGTCATCATCTCTTTACCTGCTCCCCGACTAGTCTGTCTGTCTCTATTCATCATATCATATTATACACTCTCCTCCCAAGTCCCAACTATTATTTCATTTATTATATTATTTACTTCTTCAATTAACTCTGTTAAAACTATTTATTTAATTGCAAGTAATTCTAGATCACCATCATACATAGTTATGGGATATATATGCGCTTTAGACATGCATGCACACAACATGTTGTTGGCCGATGACTATAAATAATTGTCTTATATTCACACATTAATTGTATATCACGAGTGGGTACACTTGATTTTAGAGGTGTACGTGTATGATATATTTGTTTAATTCAAATTTTTATTGAAGATAATTTTGGAGAAAAAACATAGATATTGGTAATATTAGCTATTAAAGTAGAGAGATAATTTATGAAGAGAGAGAGAGAGAGAGAGTTCCTAGGAAAATTAAATAAAAAAGAAGAAGAAAGTAGTAATAACTAATAAATAAAGGAAAATCGGGGAGCTCGATGTCGCAGGCATTCGAGGGTTATGGAAAATGGCAAAAAGCAAACTAGCTAGGAAGTTTCCCACACAAAAGTCAAATGCTCAAAGACAGACACACAACACAACAGAACGCACCCAAACACGCACCTGTCCACCACAGTGTGAGAGAGTGAGAGGGAGGGAGAGAGAAAGAGAGAGAGAGAGAGAGAGAGAGAGAGAGAGAGAGAGAGGGTGGCAAAAAGAAAAGAGGGGATTCAAAAATCATCAAACCATCCGTCCATTCCATTTATGATATTAACCTTCATTACTAATAGTATTGAGGCAATTATTTGTTAATCGATGTCCGAAGAGGGAGGGAGATTTATATTATATTTCTTTGTGTTGTTTAAATTAACCCTGCCTCATCACATGATATATATACAATGATGCGAGCGAGCCCTAGAATGTTGTGCTGGGTTAATTAATTAGCTAGGATTATTGTGCTTTGTTGTATATCAGTTTGATGTTTGTGTGTGTCTCCGTGTGTGTGAGAGAGAGAATATAGATAGATAGATGGGGAAGAGAGAGAGAGAGAGTGAGATGTGAGACCACAGAATCCCAATTATATAATATATGCTAGCTCCTGTCTGAACCTTTGCGCCTCTATCTTCTTGTTAGATCCTCTTCCTTACTACATACACACTTACTTTACTAGATATATAAATGCATTTTCTTCTAGGAGAAAGATAGATACACAGAGCATCCATCATCGCATATAAATGGCGGCAAAAGCTTTCGCTTTGGTGCAGGCTGATGCCATTAATGGCGGTACTGCCGCCGGTGAAACTCCAGCACTAGTCAGTAATAACAACCCCTCCAGAAATCCAACAGATCATATAGTTAGTCCTCCTCAAGGCAGCAAGATGGTGGCTCGGAAGAGGGCGGCGTCCGAGATGGAGCTACACGCCGCCGCCGCCAGATTTCCTCGCCGAACAGTAGGTCAGGTAAACGCCGATAATTACTCACCAGTACTACTGGCTAATAATAATAATAATATTAATAATATTAGTGTTCCTAATCCAATACCACAACAATTAGTCGTTCCCAACTACTCCACTGGGACGATGATGATGATGCCATCATCATCATCATCGTCTAATGTCAATATATTAATGACGTCCGGATCTGGGTCAGACAATACTGCTGCTGCGGCTTCTGCTTCTGCTTCTGCTTCAACGAATAAGAATAATAATAATAATAATAATAATAATAATAATAATTTCATGGACTCCAATTCCATGACTAATACTACGACTAGTAGTGGTGCTGCCCCTTCTGTTTGTGTATTCTCCGGCCTTCCTTTGTTCCCTCCAGATAGAAACCCTGTGATGATGGAGGACACTACTACGGCTACGGCTACGACTACGGCATGGATCGACGGCATCATAAAAGATCTGATCCAGGGCTCCTCCAATCACGTCTCCATTCACCAACTCATACTCAACGTCAGAGAGATCATACACCCTTGCAACCCCAATCTTGCAACCCTTCTCGAATATAGACTCCGCTCTCTCACTACTGATCAAGACCACCAAGCCAGATTAATTTCAAAGCCTCCTCCCCCCATCTTGTCCATTAATAACAGCTTATTGATGCTCGACTGCCCATCCCCACCTGGGAACCCCTACCACCTTCAAAACATGGTCATCGCTTCTACTTTTAATCCTGCCACCACCACCACCACCTCCACAGCACCCACTCCTTGTGTAGTTTCTCCTCCCGAACAGCAGAATGATCGTCTAACCACAACTGCTGCTGCCGCTGCTACGTCTCCACCTAGTCTTATTATTAAGGAGAGGAAAGAGGAAATTCGTCAGAAACAAAAAGATGAACAAGGTCTACACCTCTTAACCTTACTTTTACAGTGTGCCGAGGCAGTATCAGCTGACAATTTGGAAGAGGCTAACACCATGCTCTTGGAAATATCCCAGCTCGCAACCCCCTTTGGGACGTCTGCACAGCGTGTGGCTGCATACTTCTCTGAGGCCATGTCTGCTAGATTAGTGAGCTCCTGCTTGGGAATATACACAGCCCTGCCAACTGTACCACACAGCCAGAAGATGGCTTCCGCCTTCCAAGTCTTCAACGGGATTAGCCCCTTTGTCAAGTTTTCTCATTTCACAGCGAACCAAGCCATTCAAGAAGCATTTGAGAGAGAAGATAGGGTCCACATTATAGACCTCGACATAATGCAAGGCCTACAGTGGCCGGGTCTCTTTCACATTCTTGCATCTCGCCCAGGTGGGCCTCCCTTTGTCCGCCTCACCGGTTTGGGCAATTCCACTGACGCCCTAGAAGCCACTGGCAAGCGTCTGTCCGATTTTGCTGAGAAATTGGGACTGCCATTCGAGTTTTCGCCTGTCGCTGAGCGAGTTGGCAACCTCAACCCAGAAAGGTTGAATGTGAGCAAGAGGGAGGCTGTTGCTGTTCACTGGTTGCAGCATTCTCTCTATGATGTTACTGGATCAGACACCAATACCCTCTCGCTCCTGCAGAGGTAGTATATTTACCACCTACTTCAATATACATTTATATATATTTGTTAGTTACCAAATATTGTTGATCAATAATAACAAGATTTCTTATCGATAAAAAAACTTGTTTTTGTTTGGGGCCGGGTTTCAGATTATGTCCTAAAGTGGTGACGGTTGTGGAGCAAGACTTAAGCCACGCGGGTTCTTTCTTGGGAAGATTTGTAGAAGCGATACACTATTATTCGGCCATGTTTGACTCTTTGGGAGCTTGCTATGGGGAAGAAAGTGAGGAAAGACACATAGTGGAACAACAATTGTTGTCAAGAGAGATAAGGAACGTGTTGGGTGTTGGGGGGCCATCGAGAAGTAGCACTAGTATTAGTATGGTGAAGTTTAACAACTGGAGAGAGAAGCTCGAGCAAAGTGGGTTCAAGGGTATCTCTTTGGCAGGCAATGCTGCAGCACAAGCTACGCTACTTCTGGGAATGTTCCCATCAGATGGTTACACCTTGGTCGAAGATAATGGCGCCCTCAAGCTTGGCTGGAAGGATCTCTGCTTGCTCACTGCCTCTGCTTGGAGGCCTTCCTTCCCCACTCATACTGCCTCTCGTCACTTTTAGTGATGCTCCATCTATAAAACGATATTTTGTAGCTTTTTGTTTGCTCCATCTGAAAAACAATATTTTGTAGCTTTTTCTATATTTAGTTTCATTGTATAACTGCTCTTGCTGGAGGTGTGTTTTTTCTTGTCCAACTGAATAATTAAAATTTCAAAATTCTATGATCTCACACCATCCACATTTTTTGAGAAACTTGAAACTTTAGCATGACATCAATTTCCGCTCAGATCTTATTCATATATGTGCGGCTAAATCAAGTCTTTAATGCTGAGTGAACCCCAAATATGACACTTGAACCACAGTGGCGAACGCGAGTTTCGGGGCATAAATACAGAATTTAGTTCTAATTCTTCTCCAAAGAGATCTGAAACGTTTTTGCTATATACAATATTAGACACAACAGACAGAGGACTTAAAAAAACAAGGGTGGAAAGACTAGTGTGAATTACAATTTTAGCAGATCCCCAAACTCCCTTGAGAAACCGTGAAACACAACCTGATCAACCAAATAAAACATATGCAAGTACAACACGATGCACTTTGGGGAATTCTTAATCTATTGATACAGAGTCCACAACTGGGGGAATACAGTCCACCTTGTACCGCAGGACCTGTACCAAACAAAGCCACAATCAGCACATAACAGAGTTGGAAGGGGGAAAAGGGAAGTTGGGTCACTTATTCGTAAAAAACATTCACAAATAATATTCAAATAATTGGTTGAAGAAAATTCCAAATCTCTACAAGTCAAGCAGATGTTCACAGAAAGTTTCAAGGGTATGAATGTTGCAACCACTGAATGTAGTCTAATTAACACTAGCCAGTTGTAAGTATTGGGTAAGTTAGCAGGGATATGGGGAATTATTAAAGTTGAAGACAACATGGGGAACATTATTTGATTAAGACTCTGAAGAATGACATCTAGAAGCGGGGCGAAAAGGGACGGTTAGTATTACAAGCAAGTATACAATTTATGATTAAAATCCATAAATTGGATCAACGGGACGGCTCCACTAGGGCTTATAAGATGCTAATATAGCTTCTACCATCATTCTGCTTGCATCTATATCTTGTATATGTCCTGAAAGGAATTTCCAGTTGCAACGATAAACAAAATCCCATCGAAAGTTCCAAAAACAATGGCAATGCAAACGACACTAACAATCAGTACACTTACACACGGCCACGGGCCGGTTCGGGCCGGTTCAAACCGGTTCACGGTTCACATTTTCCAGAACCGGAACCGGCCCGTAGTATGGGCGGTTCAGCGGGCCGGGTCGGCCCGCCGGTTCCGGGGCCTATCCGGGTCGGCCCGGAAATTTTGAATTTTTTTTTTTTTTTTTGAAATATTTTATGAATTAGTAAATTAAAAGAAATACTTTTAAATAGAAAAAGAAAAAAGAAATAAATGAAAAGACTTGTACTCAATTTTAAATCCAAAGGGGGGACATTCAAAAAAAAGTAAATAACGGCCGGTTCACTAGCCGTTATTTGCTTTTTTTTTTGAATTTTTTTGATTTTTTTTTTTTAAATCCGGGTGAACCGCCGGGCCGGCCCGGCGGTTCACGGTTCACCATTTCTCAGAACCGGGCCCGTCCCGGGTAGGACGGGCCGGTTCACTCGGTCAACGGGCCGGTTTGGGCCGTCAACGGACCGGTTCGGGCCGGTTCCGGGCCCAAAACCGGCCCGTGGCCGTGTCTAAGTACACTGTATTGAGCAACTAATACTAACCATAAACATATGGTGGAACCAGAAAATTCTTGTTTGGCATAAATTTATTTACCGACCTTCTTAAAAAATGATGAGTACGAATTATCCCAGATAAGCTTGTAGTTTCCAGGAACGCATGTGCAAAAGTTACCCTGGCATTTGAAAAATGAAATTAAATGTTTAAAAGTTGCACATGCCCGTACTACAGAGAATTAAAGAAAAGCAATACTCACTTGGTTAGCTTCATAACGCTGATACGGCAATATCAGCTTGGATTTAACCAACAGTAAGGGCCAAAATCAATGAAAGTTAGTATCAAAAAGTGGGAGAGAGAGCCAAAGGGAAGAAAAAGATGAAGTGAGTCGTAGCTAGTAAGAAAAGCAGTGGCAAAGAATACAAAATAGGGATGCACTAGCACCTTCAAGAACTTACAGTTTTCTCCCCAGAAAGATTTGTGCACTCTACGCTGAATCCTATATCCTGCTAGAACACTATCCACTTAGAAAACAATACTATGGATACTGGACATCATCAAAAAGATGCCTCACCTCTGCCTCAACTACAATAATCTACTTAACTATGTTGCTCTTGAATTTTCAAATATGGGTTATTAAACTGTTGTGGGATAGTTTTGTTGATTAAATCTAACACACGAGGTAAAGAAGAATAGACAAGTGTGACATGCTTGTAACACAGCAAAAGTATGTCTGCCATCTCTCTTGACAGTATTTGTGGCATTATTATTATAAAGAAATTAGCAAATGTTGTAAGAAGAGTACCACATTCAATTTGCCTTGTACCAGTGAGAAATCCCAAGCAATGTATGAATTTACTGATTCCACTGTTAAAGACACCTAAAAGAAGAAGATAAAGTCCATTCAAACAGCACAGGATAACAAAACCGCTGTAATAACAATTCTTCAACGCAAACTTTTTCAGAAAAAAGAAAAACATAACCGCTGTAACAATTGGACGACACCTTAAATACCATTCAGGCACAAAATAGACAGCTGAAAAACTAGTTTATGCATGAGACAATAAATTCACTGTTGGCTGAGTGGTTTATGTTATTAAAGATAGAAAGTAGAATGTTTCAAGAAGCAGAATGCAGGTTAAAACTGTACTGAGAGCACGAAAAGTAGATGAATAATAAAGCGACAATATCCACATAGTAGAATGTATTGGTGTTGATGTTGGATGCATTTAGACAGGGACACTGTGTTGTATGGATATGACTCGTGTCTAGAAAACAAACCTCATGAGCACTCCCAGCTGGAACACTTATTTCTTTGTAGTCATCATCTTTCCTGTGTTTCGTGGAAGTTAAGGATTCAAACACAAGAAAAAGTTAATTAGTTTCCATATTGTACATAGTCAGCAACTCAGCATCCTGCTCACATTACAGAAATTCAACAAACAATAAGTGTAGTGTGTGCAGACCTGATTGATAATGTACCGGCATCCTCTGCAGTAATGAAAAAGGGGGAATTTGTGAAAACCTCCCTGTAGAGCAAAAAATTATATTAATGTATCCGCAATGAACAAGAACAAATGCAAAAGAACTTAATCTCAAATACAAAAACCCCTTTTGTAATGCCACATTTTCCCATTACTTGGTTTTCAACCATTTTAATCCAATAAATGCAAAGAGGTGAAATCTGAACCAAGTATAGAAGCAGCAGACTCAAATAACAATAATACCACCACCTGACATAAATAATTTGAGATACAGTGAACAATGTTAATGCAACATACGGCGTGTGATACAAAGTATCGGTAGAAAGAATTACTCTTTTGTTCTCTAAGTTAGTTCTAAATTTCATTTCTTTACGGCTCTGGTCAGTCAATTATTAACTTCCGATATGCAGACCCCTCCAGTAGAAGAAATAATTCTTCAAGAAACGGAACCTTCCATGTTAGTCTCCATCTAACTGATCCAAAATCACTTCGAGAACTGATTCTTATCCGACCATTGGAAAGGCTGTTATTCCAACATCAGGTAACTAATTCCATTTTCAGACCCTTCCAGATGCTAACAAGAAAAGCTATTCATCAAAACCTTACATATTGGCAACATATCTTGCATCTAGAATGGCTGCATATTTCTAAGGATGGATGACAAGTTAAAGTTCATGTAATCAATGAAACAATTTGTAAACCCAACGAGAGAATGCAACGGTTAACACTATCTCCTTCACAATGCCAAGATTCAGAATAGAAAGGATAACTATCAAGGAAGAGTGGAGGAGGATACTGTTCAATGATCTGCAACTAAGATCCCTGGAATATAAAATCTAGATATATAATGCTCACGAGTCAGAAGTCACAAGTCACAAGTCAGAAAACATGAAAAGGTTATAATGAAACAACAAACACCAACATGAAAGTAATTAAATTCTTACTCCCAAATCTGAATAGGAATGAGATGTCAAAGGTCTAAAGGGATTTCCTGGGGTACTAGCACAACCAAGAGCAAGAAAGATAAATTACCCAATAAATTTGATAAATCTTTGGAACTCAGAAGTGTAGACATCAGCTGCCTCTTCCAAAATGACTACTTGGTTTTTCTGCCTGAGAATTTTAAAAGTGACACAAAATATTGGGTAAGATATGGACCACGCAAAATTTAACATTTATCAGATTTTCAATATTTTTTTATCAAATCTCACAATTTACTAGTTTCAAGTCGGCCCCATAGCAGAGAGAGAAGCAGACGGATGCTATGCGCCATTTTCGTAAGGCTATACAGAGGTGGTCCATATCGCTGTCGCTGCTCCTCCATGGGCCTGGTGACAAACTTATGAAATCAGAACATAAGGGCATGGAATACTATTTGGCCCACAAACTTCCAAAGAATTTGGTCAGTGACTATAGAAAACTTGGTTCTACAAGATTTTATTAAATGTAAGTGTATACCCTTGATCATCATTTATTTGCCGAATAAAATCCATCAAAACCTGCAACAGTCACTCATATCATTGTGAGATAAACTATCAAACCAACCAAGAAGGTCGGGTGCACATGGTGTGACTGGTGTGAGGATATAGTGAGACAAAAGGAAAACCCACTACGTTTTGACTCTTGGACAATTAGTCACCAATTTTTAAGTGTCCATTAGACATGAAAAAAAAGGGAACAGACGAAATACAACAAAAAAATTACAGAGAACATAAAAAAGTAGGACTTTGCACCACCATAAACATAAACCCTCTCTGTAAAATGAATCACCAAGCAAACTAAGACATACTTCTGGCACTCCAACCAAGTATTTCATCAGAGTCTTATAGACGCCTGTTGCAGAACCAAGCTCAGCTAACTGCCTCCTTCTGCATAAAAAAATGAATGATTTAAGTTCAATTTCAGTTGAGTTTTGGTGCTAGAGAACACAAAGGAATGAGCGAAATCCTACCGCTCCATCTGTTGCTCCCATAGCAGAGCATATTTATCACGTATGCTTCCACCAGAGCTAATTAAAGCATCAATTGCAGCCTGTTTGTTTCTCTCCGAGCGATCTCTCTGTTGCCTGATTATTGTACCCCGAAAATCTTGTGGCATATAGGTCATAACTGCAATATATACACAAAACAACTTTCACTGACAGCCCATCTATGCCAACTTAGAAAATAGATATAAATAACTAGGGTACCCTGATTCTTCATTACATACAGAACATAGAAGACATAATGAATTACAAGAAAATACTCTCCAGAAATCTTGCTATTTTTGGAATATGCCAAATGTAAGTAATACTTCATGAACTCCAATACTTGACTAGCAAGTGCCCAGCTTCAACATGCCAGATCTGAAATTTTCATTTTCAAGCTAACAAACTGCAGCATGTGATATACAGAGGTTCCCAAGCCAATGATGTAAAATTTAAGGTCTCAAGAAAAACTAGGATAATGAATTTACTTGAGAAAATCTAATGCAAGCTAGTAAATGTTTTCCAATTCCGAGATTAATAAAAACTGATATTGAGCACGCTACATAGCATTTCAGAGGCTTCCTAAAACTATAAATTGCCTCATCAAGCAAATTAAAGAACTTCAATGGGAAGCCAATGGCCAAGCAAATACTGTGGAGTATATCTTTATCCAATCAAATAACTTATATTTAACATGATTGCCATTCGTAAAGTAGTTGATTAAAGTTGCTACGTTGGTGAACCTGTGTTGAAAACAAACTCGGAATTTTTGGCTTGAAAACTCTCCAAAGTGCTCAGGGTAGATTTGAAATTTTCTTGAAGCCGCCCAAGCAGAGAGACAAGTTCAGCGTCTTCAACTGTTGACTGTTGCTGAAACTGTATAAATGGGTGTTTGTTCTTTAAGGGAGTAAATAGTCCTCTATCTTACTGAAAAGTATAAAGTGATCAGTAATTTAGAAACTCACCGCTCTGGGCCAATGAGTTGGTTCCAACATGAAAAGGATCTCTTCAATCTGCTCACGGTTTTTCCACATGTTCTCATCAACTTTGTGAGGAGGTTGGCGTTCAGCTTCTTGTACCAATAAGCTTTCTCCTGGCAGATACAACATTCGAAGTGAAAAATAAGAAACAACCCCAACCAGCAGCAGATTAGAAAGGGAAAAAAATCAAAACAAATAAGCATCAAAGAGAAAGGGAAAATTGGATAGCAGAACAGCGGGATTGAAAAGACCCGAAACCCGAAACCCGAAAGAAAAATAACTAAACCTTGGGTGGGGGGAGAGTCCTTAAGAAGATCGGTGGTAGCCATAGCAAAAATCTGATCAGTGAGACGGGAAACGTCACTGGATAGAGGAGAAAAAGGGTAGTTATCGTAGTACGAAGCCAGAAAAGACCTTGTTATGGGCACCAGCCCCTCCGTCGATACCATTTTCTATCGATCCAATCCAATCCAATCGAACCCCCCGTCTTATTCGATACCCAAATCCACTCAAAACCTTGTTAATTCTCCCAAACTTTTTCTCAGTTTTGACGGAATCAATCTCTCTTTAAACCGATTATTTTTAAAATAATAAATCATGACCTAACTAATCACGTATACATTAAAATAGTCAGAGTATAATAGTCAATAGCACAAATCAATCAAATTTTATTATAATATTTATAATAAACTTGGGATGATTACTGTTTGGGTCCTATAAAAAAAGCATTAAATCATATGATCTACAATTTAATTCTTACGATTTTTACAAATTAAACCAATTATTAAAAGAGACATTACATCATAATATTTTGATTATACTAGTCACATATAACATTATTTTTAAAATAAGAAAATGAAGTGAAATGAGATCCGGAGATTTACATGGCCCAATAACGCAAGGCCCAACAGAGTTGGCCCACACCCGAAAAAGGAAATAAGACCACATGGGACCCGAGCTTATTTGCGTATTTCATCGAATGTTTATAAATGGCCCAAATCATTGAGCCCACAAGTGTAGGCCCAAATAATATTGTACATTGTCAGTACAAACGAACTAAGAGTCCCTGACGAGCTGAGACTTGAGAGCTCTTTGACGAGCTGGAGACATCTAAAAATAGCTCACTGTTAAGTGTATATTTTTACACATTATCGTATCTTTTTATTTGAGCTTTTGGTGTGTTTTAACGATAATTGGTGCTTAAAAAGTTGATTTATTGTATTTTAGGTACAAATTGAAGAATTGGAAAAGTATGGGGTCAAAAATGCAATTTTGGCGAAAATATGGGTCAAAAGTGAAAATATCAAAATTCGGAAGATTTAAAGCTCGGACTCCGTCCCAGTTTTAGTGCAAATTGTGAGACCCCGTCCGAGACTCCGAAGCTGCGCAGTAAAGGAATTTTAATTGCACAAGGAAACTGCCTTCTTCCCCAAGTTCTTCACCCTATATAAGACCAAGCCAAGCACACAATTGGGGATCTATCTTTTTTACACAATTTGGAGAGCAACAAAACAATAACGAAGACGAAGAATTTGAAGACTCTAAGCATAGATTTATCGTTTATGACTTATTTTATTTGTGTTTTTCCTTTAATCATGAGTAGCTAATTTTTTTATTTCTAGGATTTTATTTTGAACCCTATGTGAGATTTATGAACCCTTTTCTATGATTTTATGCAAGTTTTAATTCCGGATTATTTCTTATACTTGTTTTATTAAGTGCATGAACTTGATCACCTTATGTGCTTTTATGTTATTGTTAATCGCATGAATCGGAAGATCGGGTTAATAATTAGAACTGTGGTAGAAGAGCCTTTGTGGTATTGACATAGGAATATAGTTAATCTCTTAGGTAGCCATTATTGAGATATGTGCTTAATGCTGTGTTCTAGAATTAATTGCATAGGAATATAGTAATTGAATCTAGAGTATTAGAATCGTAATACACGCGGAAGCGGGTTATGATTATTTTAGCATCTCAGGTTAATAATCCGGGTTAATTGCTTGCATAATTGAAGGAATTGGGGGAATAATAATCACATAAGGGGAAAAATAAATTCTAGGCTCGTTTACTTTGATAAATCTTCTTGTTTAATTTGCTTTCTTGCTTTGTCGTTTTAATTTGCTTTTTAATTTATTTTTGTTAAGTCTCTCTAAAGTCGACTGTGTAGGGTGGGCTTGATTATAATTGGTAGATTTAGCGTCTAGGATTAGATTATTATATATACCTGTGGTTCGATATCCGGACTTTTAGTCCACTATATTACTTGTACGATACGTGCACTTGCGTGTAGGTTTTCGGCCAACACTCACGAGTGTCGAGTGCCGAGTGCAGAGTCCCGAGCGACAAACCGACGACCGCCGAGTGCCGAGTGACGAGCCGACGACCGCCGAGTGACGAACCGACGACCGCCGAGTGACGAACGCTGAGTGTCGAGCGACGAGCTGAAGATGCCACCTCATAACTTAGACACTAAGAAAATATCTTCATAACTTAACCACTAAAACTTATTGTCATGGACTTGAAACAATTCTATTAATCGAATTGGATAGAAGCAATGGCATCCGAAAAACCTCTACTATAAATAGAGATTCTAACTTGGGCGTCGGAGTGCTAACGCCGCGAGCACCTCTCCCGATCCCTTTTGCAGGTCCGCGACGAACATGACTAACATGGAACGGACTTAAAGAATTGAGATTCTTCGAAGCGGAAAAACCCAACCGCATCGAGATATAATCTTTTTTTGTTAAAATAAACATCATTTATATTTTTAAATAATTATCTTATGATAAAATATTCAATAATATTATTAAGTTTTTGCAACAATTGAGGTTACACGATTTAAATTAATTGAAATGAGTTATAGTGTATTCTTTTTAAATAATTTTTTTTTATCATTCAATTTTTTGACACTATCGATTTTTAACACTCTAAGTGAATTTGTAATAAGTCAACGCATTTGTTTATATATTGAATTGATTTAATATTTTATAGTTTTCTAATATTGGAGATTACATTGATTTAGTAATTAATAATAGATGTTTTGAAGTATTGAACCATGATTATATATATTTTTTAAAGTTAGCATTTGTTAATAATTTAATTAAAAATATTTAATAATAATTAATATGAAGATTAATAATTTATTTAACATTTGTATATCTTAACTAAATAATTTCCACCGGCATTCAAATTAGATCCACTTAATGCCTACAAATGGATAAAACTTGTGATTGTCCCACTGGCAAGTAATGATCATTTTTGCCAATCTTTGCGGGTTCGAAACCCTGGTGACCCAATTTTGGGCAATTATGCTGCATTTTATACTCGGGTCGGGTATCGGTTTCGGGGTTTCGGGTTTCGGGTTTTCGGGTTTCGGGTTTCGGGTTTCGGGTTTCGGGTTTCGGGTTTCGGGTTTTCGGGTTTCGGGTTTCGGGTTTTCGGGTTTCGGGTTTCGGGTTTCGGGTTTCGGGTTTCGGGTTTCGGGTTTCGGGTTTCGGGTTTCGGGTTTCGGGTTTCGGGTTTCGGGTTTCGGGTTTCGGGTTTCGGGTTTTCGGGTTTCGGGTTTCGGGTTTCGGGTTTCGGGTTTCGGGTTTCGGGTTTCGGGTTTCGGGTTTCGGGTTTCGGGTTTCGGGTTTCGGGTTTCGGGTTTCGGCC